GCAGAATTTATTTACAAAAGTTTTAGATTTCATTGCAATACAACTTGCATAAATTACTAGAAGCTTTATATCATTATAAAAATAAATATCAAATTTGTTTCCACTTCTGAAGGACTCAAGTTCTTCAATCACGTTAGTTCTACCGTGTACATATTTTGTTTTTACAAATAAATTTTACAGCAAGTTCTATCACATCTATAGAATATATACCGTGGCAATGAAGTGATCAAGATATCCTGAGAAAAAACAGATTGTTTCCAAAAGTCACACAAACATGGGGAAGCTATACTATGCCAACAAATTCACGTATGCCCAACAACACGTGTCCGGTCCTTAGAGTCTGTGGGTTGGTAGTGCGGTGTGCATCCTCTTTTACAGTGGCACAAGATGTGGTCCAGATTTCCACATCTGGGGTTTGTATCTGTGTACTTATGAGCTTGGGGAAGGAGAATGGCCTCCTGATTTTTATTTATTTTTTTTCCAAAGCAATTGTGACACCTACCTGTGGACCAAGGAAAAAACCAAATCATGCCAAATTCTTCAGTTCCACACCAACCAAAAGAAAAACACAAGCTTGTGTCTACTGGATCTGCCTCTTTGCCATCATTAGGGTTTAGGACTAGTCATGATGCCTAGTAGGAGAGTAAATGTTTGTAACTGCTCTGGGCTATGAGAGCTATAGAGTCTCCTATGTGTCCTATGAAAGACCAGCCCCTGCCAGTGTCTCTTTAATCTTATTCTGAAAACAACATCCACTACAGGTTTTAATGCCCGAATTTCTAAACAACTCACTCATCAAGCAAGGTGTCCTTCATGTAATCTAAAACAGGTCTCAAGGACACAGAGATGCCCCATCTCAACCATCGTCAACCAAAAGCAGTAGTGGTGGGGTATATGTTGTGTGTGTGTGCGTGTGTGTGTGTGTGTGTGTGTGTGTGTGTGTGTGTGTGTGTGAATGTATGTTTATTCCCGATTAAAGAAGTGATTCTCCAAAGCAGAACTTGAGCAGAAAAGAAGAAATCTATAAAACAGAAGGCAAAGAGGCCAGAAGGAAGCCAGACTATTCTCCAACCCTTGACAAGCAAAACCACACCACACTACACAGGGCACAGGCTTGGGGCTGGAGGACGCCGCCGAGGGAACCCACTTACTTGCACTGCGGAGCTCGGCCCTCCTATAGGTAGGGCTGGACGCCTGCGCCAACAACCGCACAGCCCTCACTGGCATCTGTCAGGGGAGGGGCAGTTAGTGAGGACAGGCTGCAACCCCTGGCAGCTAAGCACCTATCCGCTCTTATCCTTGCAAGGGACGCACACTCTCCCAGGGAATCTAAGATCCATTTTACTTAGGCTCCCTCCTGCCCCTTCCTCTCCTCCTCCCCTGGAGCCTCCATCCCAGGGATGCCGAATTAGGAACAATGTAGGCAGTGTAAGAGAATTAGGCCTCTGAGAGTTCCCGAGAGCCTGTGCTTTCCTTGAGCCAAAGGCAGAAAGGATTCGGCTAAGCTCCATTTAACCAACACCACAGAGGAAAGACTACACCCAGCAGAGAGGCAAGCGTAGTTTTCTTTGCCTGGCAGGAAGTGTGCCAAAACAAAATAGTTACGGTGACAGTATTAACAATAAATTAAAGAAGGAGTAAATAAAGCAGAGTAGATCTAAAAAGAAGGCTAGTCCCCTTTGCATTCACCCTCAATCCTCTTCCTCATACTGACTCCCCTAATTCTGGTCTGGCAAGTGGCTCTGTCCGTCCAAAGGTCTCCCAACTCCCGGAGCCCTTTCCCAGGTTTCTAGCTTATTCCGACTCACCAGGATCCCTCCCCGCCGGCCTTGGGCAGCCTACCTTTCTTGGGCTCGTAGCCGCCGCCCGGAGGCCTGTAGTGGGACTCCAGAGGGTGCGAGCCCGCCTTGCCCGCGTCGCTAGCCGCCTTGGGCGCGGCGTGCAGTGTCTCGCCTGGTGCGGAGGCCGCGGTGTTGTACCGCAGAAGGCCCTGGCCTTGCAGCGCGGCGTTCAAGTTCCCGTAGTTTGTGTAATTGCCATAGAACGGCGACGTGTAGTAGAGGTGGCGGCCCAGCAGCGGAGAGGCGGAGTAGGGCGAGCCTCCCGGAGGGGCCCCAGATGAGGCGGGCGCGGCGGCAGCCGGTAGCCCCGGAGGTCCGCAACCCGGGCCCAAGCTTGGTTGCTTGAGGTCCGAAGTGGCGATCTCGGCCAGCGACCACAGCTTGGGCTTGTTGGCGGGCGGCGGCGCTCCAGGCGACGTCCGGCTGCCTAGGGGCGTCTTGCCACCGCTGCCACCGCGCGGCGCGACTTCGGGCGCCGGGCTCAGCAGGGGTGCCTCTACGCCGGTGAGTGGCGAGGAGGTCACGGGTTTGGGAGGCGCCAGGTCCCGCTCGCACTCGTCTTCCTCATCCTCCTCGTCCTCCAGGTCCTCAAACTTGTCCTTACACTCCGAACCCGATTCGCACAAGGGATCCCCGGCGCGGCAGGGCAATTTCTCCCCATCTGACTCCGCCGAGCACGAGTGGTCCGTGAGCGAGTCGACGTGCAGACTAATCCCTGCGGGGACGCGGACACGGTGGGCGGAAAGCTGGGCCAGCGCGGGGCACCCACAGTCCCATCCGCCCAACGAACGTCCTGCACTGGGCCTCCCCACGACCCCTCACCTCGCCCCAAGGCAGCGTTAAGCGCGGCCCAACATCTCCGCAGTGCCGGAGGACTCTCCAAGGCAAATCCCGCGGCTGGCCCGGAACGAAGCCCTTTAGCCGCTTTAGTAGGCCCGGGCCCCGCGTGGCAGGTGCGTAGTGTCAGCCCCAACCACAGCCCGCCTGGGAAGAAAGCTCCTTGAGCCCTGGCACCGACCGCGGCCCCGCTCACCTTCGTCCTCTGCCGAGGTCTCCGTGCCGTCCCGAGCCTTGTCGGCACTCTCCTCCTTGTTCCTGGCAGCATCTCCTTCGTCTTCGTCCTCGTCCTCGCTTTTGTTCCTCGGGGCCCAGGTCATCTTGTTCTCCTTCTTGAGGCGCCGGCGCGCGTTGGCGAACCAGGTGGAGACCTGCGTGAGGGTCATCTTGGTGATGATGGCCAGCATGATCTTCTCGCCCTTGGTGGGGTACGGGTTCTTGCGGTGCTCGTTGAGCCAGGCTTTCAGCGTGGCGGTGGCGTCCCGCGTGGCGTTCTTGCGGTACGCGGGGTCGTTGAGCTGGTATGGGTAGGCCGCGCTGCCATATGGGTGATAGCTGATGGCGCCAGTCATTCCGGTGGTGTGCGTGTCGTATGGCGAGCCCTGGAAGCCACAACAGCCTGTGAGTGGAGGGTGCGTGGGCCCCTCAGGCGTCACCCCACCCCCCCTCAAGGCGACCCTCCGTTCGCCCCCCGCTGCCTTTCTTGCTTGGCTTCTCTGGGCTGGGAACCTTTCTGCAGAGAGCCTGAGAAACACAAGGCCAGCTATTGGAAACAAAACTCCTGCCTTTTGATTCTAGAATTTTGTTTTTAACTATCTCACTCTTTTTTTTTTTCCTGAAACGACCTAAGGTTTCAAGTAGCTCGAACAATGTCTGCAAACACATTCTCCTGACAGCCCCGCAGTTCTGCGGGTAGTTTTCTTGATATCTAAATTTTATGGGAGGCTTCCCGAGCTGCTCTCTCACCCCGTTATATAGTTTAAAAAAAAATAGTTCGGAACCCTACTCTGCTATTCACCCTCTAAAGCAGAGTAAATCCAATTTGCAACTCAGAAGCCAGTCAGCTTTTCCAATTCTTCAACTACGTAGTAATTAGCATTTTAATTCATCCTTTAACATTTAAATACGAGGTGTTTGTAACCTTCTCCCAAGGCCTAGTTTCCACTTTGGGAATTCCAACTAGGGTATAACACCCCCCACCCCCCGCCGCCGACGCCCCACGTCCTCACACGCCCCAAAACTGCTAAGACCCACTCAGGAGGGGCCCATTCTCAGAACCCAGAGATGTTCTGGCGGACCCCGAGTTTCTGGAGCTGGAGCCCATAGGCCGCCGCGCACGAACTCTGGTAGCACTTAGCGGGTCCCAATCCCGTCAACATATTTTTTGAAAGCCAGATCTGAGAGACAGATAAAGGCCAAAACCAGAGAGCGTCAGTCTGGTTTAGGGGCGGCAGCCGGAGGCTCGATGCTCTCCCCTAACTCGGTGACCCCGCCACTACTAGCGTGCCCAAGAAACCCGAACCGCGCGGCAGTGGCCCTAGGAGCCGGGCAGCGGCGGCCCTCGGCCTGGAACCCTGCGAGAGAGCCTCGGGCCGATTCTGCCGCCCCAGCAATCTGCAGGCGCGGATTAGAGACAACTCATGGCCCCGGCCCGGGTGGAGCAGCACCTCGCACCGGCTTAGAGGAAATCATCCCACAACCGCTGCGGGTCAACTCGGTCCCTTGTTTCCCGCGGCAGCTGGTGCTGGTGACTCCCGAGCCACCACCCGCGCCGCGCGGTGTTCCTAGTCCCCCCCTGCTCAACCCAAGCCAGGGGTCGGGGGTCTCCCAGCCCCCACCCCAAAGCGGTTACCATGTAGGACGGGAAGCCCGCGGCAGCTGCAGCGGCGGCGTCTGCCGAGTACTGCAGCGGGCTGCCGAAGCCGGTTGCCGCCTGCGCTGTGAAGGCCGCCGAGCCGGGGTACGGACTGAACGCGGAGCCCGACGCCGAGCGCGCCAGCTCCTCGCTGCGCGGCGCCGCCAGCGCGGAGGCGCCGTACGCGGGGCACGAGTAGAGCGCCAGCGAGCCGGGCGCTTGGTACAGGTAGCCCTGCGGGTAGGACATGGTGGGCGCGGGGCGCGAGGCCCGCGTCACGCAGAGCAGCGGGCAGCGCGCGCGGCGCCCTCCATCCACGCCCGGCCGGGGCGCACCGGGGCTACGGGCCGGGGCAGGCTGGGCTGGGCACTAGCCCGGGAGGCCCGCGGGCCCGCGGATCTGCGGGGAGGCGGCGGCGGCGGCGGCGGCAAGCGGCAGCGCGGAGCCGGTGGGCGCAGCCGCGCGCCAGGCCGGCGGTCGGGGTTTGGGGGAGTCTGCAGTCGGGAGTGAGGAGTTGAGGAAGGAGCGCTCGAGTTTCCGAGGGACATTGGAACGCGGAGCTGTCCGTCACGCTCTCATCTGCATATTCTGGTGCCCGCCCCCTCCCCTGCTCCGCCCGCTGCCGAGGCCCGGCCGAGGCCGGGGGAGGGGCAGAGAGCCGATGGGAGGGGAGTGCAGGGGAAGGCGGAGGAGTGGCAGCGAGCGGCAGGAGGGAGGGACGGGCAGGCTTTTGTGGCGCAGCCGCCACTCGCAGCCCGCCGCTCGGAAGCTCGGCCTGGCCAAACTGGGCGTAGCGCTCCCCCCCCTCCCACAGGCACGTCTTCTCAGCCACGTCCGCGCACCCCGCGGCCGCCGACTCCAGCCTCGGCCCAGCCACCTTCCTCACTCCCCCAGCCCCGGCGCTCTGGCTCGCCTCGCACTGGTTTGCAATGGCCTTCTACAGCCAGGCCGGGTCCGATCCACCTGGGGGATGGACGGATCAGGCACCCCTCGTCACCTTGAAGATACCGGCCCAGGCTCCACCCCGTGTCCAGTGCAGACGCCGCAGGGAGCTGGATACCTGCAGAGTTGCTGGGCAGTCTCACTTCTACAGTCCTCTGTCCGCCTAGCCTCAAGGCCCAGGCTGCCCGCGTGGCCTCGCTCTCGTCTGGTTTTTGCCCGCTCCTGGCGCCTATGCTGCCAAGCATCGAACCGGAACCGGAGAGTTTTTGGTTTGGAGCTGTTCCCGGGAGGCCCCTAGATGACACGGCTTCTGCCCCCAAGTACACAGAGAAGATTTCAGGCCGTGTGTTAGCAACTTCATGCCTATTAACGTCTGGAACGCGTCAGTGAGTGATTCGTCTCCCCCCCCCCAAAAAAAAGAAACCCCCAAACCCCAAACAAAAAACCCCGCCACCCTGGCCCCGAAAGAGTTTTGTTTTCTTTTGTTAAGTTGAATGCGTCTTCGAATTTGGAGAGGGCTCTCGACAGAAGAGTTGTCTCTGACTTTGCTAGAGTCTCACTACCACCTCTTGCAGGGATATGGGCCAGTGAGGAGAAGCAAAGACTTCACAAGTGACTAAGATAGCCTGAGGTCCAGGAGGTGACTCGCTGGTCCCTCGGGATAAGTGGTTAGCGAAAGCCCTTGGGACCTAGCCCCTAAACTTTCCCGCCCACACCTGCACCCCTTCCCCATGTGAAAGAGTGGGTGGCCAGAGGGGCCGCCGGTCCAGTCCACTGGACCTGAAGGACTGCCAATGGGGGGCGCTCGGGGGACTCGTAGGGGTCAGGTGTGAGCTGGCCCGGGAGGGGGCGCCCATCCAACAGGTGTCTCTTTCTCGCAGCCGGCTAGGTGGTGCACGAGGACGCTGCCGGCTGCGGCGCGGGCCTGAGATCAGATCCGCTGCTATTTCATCCTTGGTGGGCTCTGAAGCTAGGAGAGGGCGGCAGAGGTCTCCATCGTGCGAGCGCCCGGCAGCTGCATGGGCTTGGGCTGTGCCGCTCCAGCTCCTGCTGCTGCCAGATCCATGACACCCAGTGAATGCTGTAGGCAGCCAGGCTGCGTTTTGTTTCTTTCCCGGATCCCGGGAAACCAGGAGTCAATTGCAGTGATGGATTGAGGATTATTTTCCCGGGCTGGCAGGCAGGCAGGCAAGTGTATCACTTGGTATGCACTTTCCATGCGCTCTACTCCACCCTCATCCGCCTTCAAACACTGCTACCACTATACCAATACGTCCTCCCGTCCTCCCCTCTCGGGGTTCTTCTCACTTTCCCCTACAAATCTTCCAAGTCCCTTTAACCTGTGGCACCCTAAAGTCTCAGTGCATGTGCACAGCCCACTTCCCACAGACCCAGAACTAGGCCGTGACATATTGCCTGGTCTACAGGGAAGACCCCAGGTGGGGCATCCTAATTCAGGGGAGAGAAAGGAAGGAGGAGGGAGGGATGAAGGAGAGAGAGAGAGAGAGAGAGAGAGAGAGAGAGAGAGAGAGAGAGAGAGAGAGAGAGAGAGTTGCCCCAGTGTCCCAGTGCAACTGGGTGGAGCCAAATCTGCATATTCAGTTATTTTTGTTTTTCTGGGAAGGAATTCCTCTGGGAAGAGGCAATCAGTGAGATCCTATGTACTGTATAACAAACAATCACTGGTCAGGCTGAGGCATGTAGTTAACTTCCAATTAGATTGGTTTAAATTTGTTATATATATATATATATATATATATATATATATATATATATATATATATATATATATATATATACATATATGAAGTCTCCAATTTTTACCTGGGGGATGATTGTATGGATCTTGATCTTTTCCTTCCTAAAGACTAGTTTCCTGCCCTGGTGTCAGTGGGGTGTGCCTTACCTTCCGCTTCTGACCTCTGCCAAGGATGGAAGAGAAAGCAGCCAGTTCTTATAAAACCCAGCGGATTGGAGCAAGTCCTTACGCCTAGATGCAGCTGATTTGGACATTATTAACTACATAACCAGACAAGTGTGCCTTGCTTTGGAGGGTCTCCTGTCCACAAACTTCCCGGAAGTGCAGCCCCACTGTTCACTGCTACCTATCTTGACCAAGTCCCCTGTGTTTCCTCCAGCAATTACCCTCCACCAAAATCTAAAATTGCGGTCCTGCTGCCTGTTGCTAATAAAAACTGGCTACCTTGTGCAATTAAACAGTTGAATCTGACTACATGCCGATTTTATTGGTACTGACTGTGGCAAATTAAAGTGCCTATACAGGGACATTAACGAGTGAGTTCCCCATTGTGGTTGGGGTATTTAAACTCCGTTTCACATTAATGCTCCCGAAGTCTGAAAAGACTAATTTTGCTTTTCTTAGCTTGGCTTGATCAAAACAAAACAAAACAAACCCAAACCAACAAAATCAATGAGGAAAATTCACTTTCCAAGTATGGAACCTGGGCAGAAAGTCCTCACCACTGCTAGGGTCATGGGGTTAGCTCAAATTGCTCTGAATACTCACTGCTGAGACCCATGCCCAACAACTTCCCTTTCCAAAAATGGCATGGAAGGCATGGTGGTCCAGGGCAGGAGGCGTGTTGAGATGTACCAGTCTCTTAAGAAACCTGGTGCTTGGGTCCTGCTTTTCCCAGTTACCTAAATGAAACGAACAATGTGAGACATGCAGGAAAGTCGGGTCACAGCGTGGAAAGAGAAAGCGGCCCCTTGTAACAGTTACCTAGGCTGTGGGTACTTCCTGGGGACCCTCCCCGTGTGTGTAGCAGAATTAAAAACAAACATGGTCAAGTCTTTACAGCACCTGCAGAGGCGGAAATATTTAGAACCAGTCCTGGCTGGAGACTCATTTAAGCTGCCCGGGTATTCAGTGGAGGCCACTGGCAAGTCAGATATTAAGGCAAGGATTCAAGGATTTGCCTTGGTTTCGAAGGCCCAGGCGCTCGCCTGACACTGTCCTGTCCTGTAGCTTTCTGGAGGCGACGCGGGCCAGAGTCGCGCGGCAGGCGGTGAGGGGGCGCTGTGGCTCGCGCCTGCCGCCTTAGCCCAGCTGCGGAAACCTGGCGCTGCCACCGCGCCCCCGACGCGTGGCTGACGCCCCGCCAGTGGCCCAGTCTGCCTCTTTCCACGCCTGTTTTATTCGGGAAAGAAGAAAAACAATGCCCGGGCATTTCAATAAAGCCAGAGAGCTCTTACTCGTTCTGGGTCAACTTTGGCCTTCGTGGACTGTTTCAGTCTGGGACCCAAAATAGCACATTTTGTTGTGTGCAGATTTTTTTTTAATTAAAAAAAAAAGCCCGACTTTTTAAGTGGGTTTACTTTAATGAGGGGCATTTAAAATGTAAGTAGTTTTCAGTGTATCAAATCGTATCCTATGGTATTCGCAGCCAGGACGTTTTGGCTTGTGCGCAGCGCTCATCAAGAAAAAAAAGAGAGAGAAAGAGTCAAGCTTTACTTTTTTTTTTTTAGTTTCGTTTTTGTTTTGTGTTCTTTTAAAGGTTTTCATTGCACCAACTTTAATTCCACATGCAAGGGCAATCTCCCTTCAGGCTTCGGTTGTATTGGGGCTGCATCGGTATTTCTCATTTCTACAGCCAAAAAAGCGCTCTCCTGAAAAGCTCTCACGCAGGACAGTTCACCGAAGGTGAGGGGTCCTTTGACACCCGCGCCCTGGAAGGAGAAGTCTGGGCCCCACTTGGGGTTCTCAAACAGGCTTGCTAGGCCTGGCCTCCTTGGCCGGCACCGGAGGCGATTGCCTCTGCGGAGCCGGGGTCTGCCTTTAGCCCTGAGCTCCCGAAAAATAAATAAATAATAAATAAATAAAAATTTGAAAAGCACGCACTTTTTTTTTTTTCTTGTTTTCCTCCCGAAGATGAAGAATTCCAGTAACCAGCGCTTCCTCCTTCAACTCTCCTCGCTTGCTCCAGACCCTGATCTGCCAGCTGGTCTCTCCTTGGTGGGCAGCGTGAGTGCCCATTCTCCCCGTAGACGCCCTGCCTCCACAGGCTTCCTGAAGTTTTTCTCCTGAGCCGAGTTGGGACAAGCCTTATTTCTCCATATCTGGCCATTCAGTCTCTGTCCTTGGCCCTGTCTGCTGGTGTGGTGCTTCTCACGCTCCTTCTCCCCACTCTTGTCTCTCAGCTGCGATCCTGCGGCCCGCGGCCCACCGGTGTCCGTGGCAAGGCGTCCACGAGAGTGGGCCCAGATGCTTGCACCCCGCCGGGCTGTGGCTGCGCTTCCGCGAGCTCCGGGAGTCCACGGTGCCGCCAGGAGGGAGCGCAGTGCGCGCAGCCTGGGAACCCGGGAAAGCTCGACTGGGGATGTTCCGAGGACGGCGCTAGTTTGCGGTCTGGGAACCCGTGAGAGAGTTAAACCCGGAGCGAAGTTCCATTTCAGGAACGTGTGAGAGCGGCTAGAGCAACTTCACAGCCTGCTCCCCTGGACCCGGGCACCCACTCCTGCCTGCAGCCCACACTGCAGACGTAGGTCCCGGACCTATAGAAGCTGAGCTCGGGGTTCCCACGAGTTACTGACTCGCGGTCTTGGGAGACTCTTCTCCTAATCCTCGGTAGCTGCTCTGGGCTCCGCAGTCAAGGTTGCAGACGGTTGTGTGCATCTGGTGCAGGCGGTTTGAGCCCGGTCTCAGGAGAAACTGCAAACCTGCCTGAGCCCGGGAAGAGTCTTTGCTGGAAAGAAGGCGCGACAAGAAAACCACCAGGCCATAAGTCTTCACACATTTCGTTCTACAAGAAAGCCAGGCCCTGCAGAGTGTGCCTGGGGCTGGGTTTAATTCACTCATGCCACCACTCGTTCATTCGTTCGTTCCTTCGATGTCCACACAACTCTCCAGGACGTAGTCTGAGCAGCGTGTAACCTCCAACACACTCACCCTTTTCCCACGCTCTCTCAGAATGCTCGTACATACCCAGGAACACAGTGTAAGGAGCATTATTCTTTTTAAGAAAAAAGGTGAGATGTGGGGAAGGAAGGAGAGAGAGGACAGGACAGGGAGTGTAGTTTTTTTTCTTTCTTTCTTTTAAATGGATAAATCTGCATTAAAAGTAAAACACACCACCTGAGAGAACGGTATTGGAGCAGGTACAGGATAGGCAGGTATGCGGAGTCACGAATTCTGGAGAAACATTGGGGGAAATGTGCACTTTCACACCTGGAAGAACCTGGTGGCTGGATCCACTGTGATGGGGAGGCCTCCAGACAAAGAGGCGCACTTAATGCTCCCCTTCAGAACTCCAAGCGAGACCCAGGGCAGAAGGCACCTCAACTATCTGGGCTGTGACAGCTCAAATTCTTTCAAAGAAATGGAGCGGGGAGGGTCAGGTTGGTGACAACAGAAAAGCCAGAGGTAAGAGCTGCTGTTCACCCAGAGAGGGTCAGAAATACCACACGGGGTGCTGAGACTCTGGTGGTGGTGGCAGGCTTGAGACCTTGCGGTGGCAATCCTGATGATGGAGTCACGGTAGAGTTCACGGCACAAAAATGTCGCCCAGGATGGAGGTGGAATAGCCACTCAGGTCAACAGGAGACTGGAGAGCAGGGGAAGAGGACAGAGAGGGACCTTGCTGCCATGCTGAGACGGGATTTAAAAGCAAGTGTCAGCACTTTGTGCAGATAGAGTGTGTGTGTGTGTGTGTGTGTGTGTGTGTGTGTGTGTGTGTGTGTGTGATCTTGGAGGAAAGTCTGCCCTCTATGTCAGGCATGGGATACTCATGTGGGGCCAGCTCTCATCTCCTGTCAGTAGAGTTCTGTCCTGAAAGGCACTCCTGAAATGAGGTAAGTAAACATTGCAGGGCGTTAACAATTCTTAGCTGGGAAGTACAGTTGCATGAGGCTATACTGCTCTGCATGGTGTGTGTGTGTGTGTGTGTGTGTGTGTGTGTGTGTGTGTGTGTGTGTGTGTGAGAGAGAGAGAGAGAGAGAGAGAGAGAGAGAGAGAGAGAGATTTATGTTTCTGAAATATTTACATTTAGGCACTAGCCTTACAAAGGAGCATCCTAGGCATGGAAGTATAATGTGCTTCTTATGGGATATGTTTGATTTTTTTTTATAAATCACTTTATCAAATATTTTCACTCTGCATCTCTCTTCTCTCCTTATAATAAATAAATAAAAGATGTATTGAGTTTTCGGTTTAACCTTTAGAACAAATGACATCCCTGTGTATTTGGGGGTGTTATTTGAGGCATGGCAGGACCTGGGCAGGGTGTTCTCTCAGGAAGTCTGGGATGTGGCCCTGCTCTGCTCCGCACTGTATGTGGGGGAACTCTGACAGGCACAGAAGCTGCTAGAAGAGGTGTAACTGTAGGCGGATCACCTGTACACCTCTGTGACAAGTACCTTACTGCTGTCCTGTGTGGAGTCTCCTTATTCCACAGTGAACAGCGAAGGTATCAGAGAATTCAAATAACAGAGAGGGGATGCCAGGAGACAGGAAGTTGGGGAAGTGCCTGGGAAGGGAAATCTGAAAGGCAAAGAGAGGCAGAAGCTGGGAGGGAGAGGGTTAGACTCTGCCACAGCCATTGTATCTCCCAGGCCACCCCTCTCTCCAAGACTGGAACACAGGGCCTTTCTTGAAACAATGGCTCTGGGCTCTGTCCACTTGTCCTTGCTGTAGCCAGAGGCATGGGGTATTTGCAAACCTAAGTCCCCATGAAGCTCTTGAACAGGGGAGAAGCCCTTTTATCATAGTTCCCCTGTATTAACCTGCTGCAGAGGCAGAGAGCAGGGCAACATATTTCCAAGGCTTCCCTTTGTTCTGTGGTGTGACCCTGGTAAGTCTGAAGCCTTGGGATACTGCCACTGCTGCCTGTCCCCTCCTGTCCACAGCTGAGCTTCTCCTACTGGCTGCTTCCTTCAGTAAAGCCTTCCATTTTCCAAGTTTCTAGAGGCAATGTTTCAGTCAACATGGCTGCTGGCTTCACGGCTCTCCTTACTTCCTACTCCAGTCTCTATGCTAGCCAGTGTAGGCACTAGACGAGCATTGACTAAATGAATACATACACAAGGAATGAATGTCTGGCTCTTGACCGGTCCTGTCTGGAAGGCATTAGGATGGGGGTGGCGTGTGGAGGAAAGAAGCAACCGTGGTATAGACATTTGCTTCAGGTGCTCACTCCCAGCCCCACCTGGGGGCTTCTCTGCACTTGACCATGTGGCCAGTCCGAGCCCAATAATATTCCCCCACAGCAACTT